TGCTTACACTGTACAGGCAACCTTAGCAACCGAGTGCTCTCAATGGAACAACAATCATTATGGTTTATTTGTAGCTGGTCACTTTTGTATCAGTAAGAAGGCGTATTGTATCCCACTTTGTTGACGCACGCAATCAAAAACCTAAAACCACATGTCCATTAGAGTGAGCTACGCGAGGCAGTGATACTCTGCATCATTAGGCAGCAGTGCCTATCTGGATTCTGTGTCCATAATGAAAGGGCTTTTCGATGAATGGATGATGATCTTTCTTCTCCTAAATTGCTTGACTTGTATTTCCCGAAATTGTCCAAAGGCTGAAGAGAAATATTTTTCTCATAACACAGAGATATTTCCCATCAACTCACTTGTTTCTCAGTAAGTGACTTAAAATGAATGGTTTATCCCGGTTGACTTCTTTAGCCCGCACAAAATATCTCACGATGCAGCCTTATCACTTACATGACATTGCGCTATTCCGTCAACACTTACGACGTTGAACGGAATGATTTGTAGGACAAATGAGCATTTCTCGTCATCCGAAGTAAGTAGCTCGCTGATAATGTTTTAAACTTATGGAGATTTTTCGTCGTCTATTCCGATGTTTTCTTCGCTACGTTTTTTACTCTAATGTGCAGATAACGTCATGTTTGCTACTGTTCAAACTGTTTGAACTGCAGATTTATGATTAGTTAATGGTCAAAAGTCAGTCGCCTTGCACAGAGATTAAACGTAGCCGTTTAAATTGAGTGAAATGCGCTTAAATCAGCAACATCATGGCTAAGGTTTCAAATGTTGGCAATAGACATTTTGAGTTGGGGTCCTTAGGCACCCATGCTGATTTTGTGCCACTGACAAATATGGCACACGACGGCTGGACAACTCAAACCGACCTTTGGTAGTTAAAAACTACTAAATTGACTGGATAGATTGCTGAGGATCCGAGAAGATGGCCCAACGGTAGAGTGGTTCAGGAACGAAGCGTATCCGGGACTATATTTTGCAACGTAATAATTTTTTCTGGCATTTTCACGCCAAAGATCAGATAAGAGACGGCCTCGTGACTGGTACTCATTCACTAGAAATGCGCGGGTTAGTGATCCAACTAAAGTTGTCATCCCTAGACCCCAAAGACTTTGACTTCATATCTGTAGCGCACATCAGAGGACTTAGTGAAAATTTTCTGCGGTTTAGATTCGGAATAGTGAACACCGGAATTCTGGAGCCTTCTTCACTTCACCTCTTTGGGGTACACTATGTACACTATGTAGTTTTAAATGGTCCAAGATATATAACCACGGGCGCACTCACTGTGTCCAACGAATTTTACTGGTATTATTGCACTGTGTTTGTTGACTCGTGTCACGTCTGTCGAGGAGCTAGAAATATATATGGGGAGGGGATCGTTTGTCTCTAGTCGTTCATGATTCCAGAAGTGCGAAATCATTCACAGTATGGTGCTTCTTGTTATCTTGAGAAGTAACGAGGCCGGTGCCAAGCTGAAGCGAGGAAATCAAAGTCAATACAGTTGGCATCTGCTCTGTGAGACAGTTCTACAGACAATTTCAAGTTCCAACTTACACACTAATTCCAGCTAATACTTAGTTCAGACTATCTAGAGTAACCTGATCGTAAACATTCTAGCCGGATTTAACCGCGTTCGTAAAAAGAGGTACATTGTACCACTCCATATATCGTATTGGTACTATAACCAGAACAGGTGAATAAGGGAACATGTTCCCAGATTAGGATCATACATGCTGAAAGTACAGAAGTTCACGAAATTTGGCTTTGTAACGCGACGTCAACCCGAAACATCAGAGCTTATTTCCTGGTGCAGAAAGACAAAAGGACACCGAATAATAAACCTTTAGCCCCACATGCCCACAGAATTTCATGTGTGAGAAAAACTTACTGAGTATTATCACGGACAGTTGTTGGGCACATTTTCGTAGTGGTATAAACAACATTCACGCTCACTGAAAGCTACGTGCTTCCGTTTTTAGAACTTTGTGCATTGCTAAGCTGAACAATAATGTACACGAAAACTGATGTTTCATACGGGCGCTTAGATCAATACACTGGAGACATCTGAGCAAATAGAAAGAGCAAAATATTCTATTTTGAACTATCCTGAACAGCGGTCTTCCGTAGCAGGATAAAAGTGTCATTAAACCTAGCCGACCGAGTTTCTCCATTTGATTTTTGTTTTATTCACAACACTCGAGGTTGTGTAGAGAGAGTTTGCTCCGTAACGCGCACTGCTCTTAAACCAATGTACACTCTGAGCGAAACTCATTCATTGTCAAAATTACGTTAGTATTAACTTGAGACTCCACTGAAAACCAGTTTGATGAAGAATAGGGGCAAGTGCATAAGTACTTGGCCCTGTTAATGGAGAAAAATTCGTGCAGTTATTGCATTCTATCAACATTTCACTCTATCTATTCCATACAATAACCCACTGAAGCAGCAGATTGATGTAATTAGTTAGCATAATAAACATACCTATCTTATGACAAATCCTTAACTTGCAAAAGACTTGGCTCACAAGGTATGGACGTACTCAAAATACCGGGAATTGGACAGCGTTTCTGACTGGGTACCACCAACAACGCTGTTCCAAACAACAACAAAATGGCAAGAACAACCGGATTTTTTGAGAGCACATTGGGGCTTACGTGTAAAACCAAGTAGCATGCTATGGAACGCATGTTCTTGTTCAGGCTTGAATGAATGGGGCTGCTTAACCATGGGGTTCGACCTTGGAGACACCTACCAGTCTCGCTGATTCCGAGCTGATGCGAAAACAGCATAGCTGAGTACTCGACGTACTCCTACTGACGTACGGAGACTGTCGGATTGCTGGACTACTGCATACACCATGTAAAAATAACATTTCGGTATGATGTCAGCATAGTGGCTATCAGCCTACGCAAGCAGCGTATTGGAAATTCATGAGACGACCTGAGATTGACGATTGTGAATACTAGCTGGTTTAATAAAAGAAGTTGCAGCCGCGTTTGGTCCCGTCGATTTCTCGACAAGATTCATTTCGGTCCTTAGGTTTTATCGAGCTTTTTCTGTAAAACATGGCTCACTACAGTACGCTTTTCAGACGAAGTATGTTAATTTAAGGCTAGTTAAGTTGAGACAACACAGGATTGACACTTTCGGATGTGCGTTTTCGGTAGAGAATCTGGATGGTTCATATATGGTTTTCTCCGACCATGCGCCCATTCCGGTATCGTCGGCTACAGTAGCTAATCATCAAACTGCTTCGTGTCCCTTTACCTCTCGGAGCTATTTTAATGTCGCTGGTATCTTCACCGACTGAAAAACCCTCGTTACACAGTTATCCATGTTGGTTAGACAGGGTGGGTTAAGTCCAGTTTTTTTTCGTTCAGCCACAACAAACAGCAACCATTTTGAAATCATAGCCAGTTGGTTCACCATTTCAAATGCTTGTCTAACGGTTGATATGCTCAAGATAACTGGAGTTAGTAAGGGCGCTAATTTTCATCACGCAGTTGACAGAGGAGTGACGAAATAAAATGTAAAAACAGACAATCCTGTGCCGCTAACGGAAAATAAAAAGAGGACACTTGAGATTGTTGCGCTCAGACGATCCAACGGATATTGAAAAGGGTGAGAAATAGTTGGTAAGTGTCAAAACTGGGGACGTGTGCATTCATGGATTAGGCCGGATATAAACAGCGACGAACATCCAATAAAACTACCCTGTGAATTTCGAACAAACGTCCAGTCGGTTGCTGAATACATAATAAACCAAGATTCCCACTAGGATTTCACTAGATTCATGCAAGCATTTTAAACCCCCATTCGTTCTCAGAGTTCCAAGAATAAAATGAGCAACATGTAGATTCTTCTAGGGTGAGGGAGAGAAACGTTGGATTGAGGAAAGATATAGAAATGAAAAGGATGACGTCTGAATTCTATCAGCACGGGGGAATCAACACTTAACTTTGAGAGGAACAGACGAACAATGGAGATAACAGCTAAGGTTATTGGTAGAAGAAATACGGTTGTAAGATCTTCATCCCGATCATCTATGCATAATAAACCGGTGGTCACACCCGGTAAACCAGGCAATCGACTGTATAGGAAAACTAAATTCCGACTAAAAATTTCGTTCTGGAAGTGACACTGATCTGTGCCGAAAAGGTTAGAAGCGCTCTATCGGATAGCGTGAACAGTGCACATATTACAAACCCCCTGGGAGATTCCAACAATCACAGGACACTTACAGGCATGTCATATCGGGGTCTAACAAATTAGAGTGAGGTATTAACAAGAATATCCAAAAATCGTGAAATTGCCTTTCGATAGGAAAATCGGTAAACCACGCTACATGGATTCTATAGTACCCACCACCATTTGGTATACGGACTGTGATAGTCGGCATGGCGGTTATTCCGCTTGTGTGTATGTGTCCCTGATCCCGGAAAAGCGACGCAAAATTTCAAAAAACTTTGCTTTGTCAAGTGTCGTGGTCATTCGAACCCGAGGAATCTGGAAGACCTAGAACGGTCAAATAAAATGTGATTGACGTTTCCGTATCTGCAAGCCGCCGGCATTGTTGAAATTGTTATGTCTATGCTTGGAACTAATAAAGGATAACGGGCCGAATCTAACAGCTCAACTTGTGCGTATCCACAAAACTCCCTCCATGAGAGGTTCCAGGGTGTTCTTGGACTTATCTCATTCAATTCTTGAATAATTGTTGACTTTCAAAATGTGAGCTGAACCCCGCTTGACAATTACGACTTGGTATACTGGATAGAGAAATCCTCTACACGATTGAATATTAAACACGGTGAATGATTATAGCTCCATCTTAATTAAATGCTATTCCTGTAGATGGAGTACCGATGTCTACCGTATCAACGTTAGCATCCCCAGAACTAGACTTGGATAGTTTATAGCAGAAGAAAACACTCGGAGCTGAGTACTAATTAGATTTGATGGCATATGTTTTTTAGGGCCGATTCCCAGGTTGTTCTGGCATCAAATTTAAAATTCCCAAATTATTTGACGACATGTCGCTAATTCGAACAGGAGCGAAACTGAATTCTACAAGGGAAACTGTTTCCCCAGGAGACGGCATATACAAAATTATATAGTGTACTCAATGCATATAATCAGTTCGTCACGCTATATCTATAGTCAGAGGAGCTCCGATTGTTGTAAAGCTGGAAGTACGGTATTTTGGCAATAAACAGCGAAGACAACATATTGAATGAACATCAAGCAGGATTCAATTGTACCCCAACATTGGCCGCATGCACATGTGAAGGAAACAAAAAACAACATCGTTTGACAAATCCACTTCTCTTGTATTCATTCAAATGCGAACCTGACTGGGAGGAAAAAATTCATTCTTCCATAAGTATTAGCATAACGCATTTGATTCCATAGTCTCCCACCTGTTAAGCGGAATTACATATATTAAATCCAAGCGTTAGATCAATTCAGGCTTTGAATGTGAAGATAAGCAATCAGGTACTTCAGGCAAATAAGGCACTGTTAATTTATTGCAACCATAAGAAAAGGACGTTGATACAATGGAAGAGAACTAGTCCACCTTTTAAGCTCCTAATTATTGCATTGGGCGGAGAAACACCCAAACACATGCATCCATCTGGATGAAGCACAAGAGGTACTACGAATGAGTCGTAGCTACTAAGAGTGTAAATCCCACATACTCATACACGGTTAACATTGATATGGGCAAGCCAGTTAAAGTGCGGCATCAACAACTTCATCAACTAAACCGTTTGGACTACTTGTAAGATAAACTAAAACCCTGACGGTACGCATTAAACAGAGAAAACGAACAAGGATTTGCCTGACATCTTTTGATTTCCTGGGTAACGTATGATAAATTTAAATGAGCAAGCAGGGTAAGGATGCCGGTCAGGCGATATAGAACAAAACAAAACAAAAAGGGTAATTCTGGATGAACCTTAACATAAAACACTAAAAGAAAACCTGGGGAAGTAAAACAAAATTGTTTGGAATCGCACATAATTGTATAGAGAAAAGAGTAGAATTGGAAATACAAAATATACACAATAGAAAAAGTGCAAAAATTCCGTTCTAACAAACGATCAAAGAACAACGAATAAATCCACAAAGATAGAAAAACCTAAAGCAAACAACAAAAATATATGGCAAATAAAAATACATATACAAAAAAAACGAACGTGAAGACGGAAAGAAAAAACCGACCACCAAAACGACAGGAAACACATACAAGAAAAACCAAGCGAACAACGTGTATTAGAAAAATAGACCACTGATCTGAACCACCAAGTAAAAACAATTTATCCAAAAACAACTGCCCAAATTCCAAAAAAAACAAAACGCCAGGCGTTTTCTTCCGATTCCCTTAGTCCGTTTTGTCGAGCATTCCTCTGTATCACAGCTCCATCACTCACCGTGTTCACCGATGCAGGCACCGCTTGCCGCTTTATGTAAGAACGGCGAGTCTAGTAGATCTCTGTTGTTTGTGCTAGCATGTGCTAGATGCTTCTGTCGAACTGTGTGACAAACTGCCTGAGTACCGAAATTACATGCATAGCAGACCTATTGCTGAAAGTTTGCAGTCCTTGGCAATACGGCCATCCGGTTGTGTCGGACCACCGCAGTACGAGGCCGCCAATGTCACGCAGTTTGGCTTCCAGTATGAATCAACCATGCCAATTGTTGACCTTACGCAGACCCGATCGGACAATCCAAACGAGACTATTCCAGCAGTCATGAATCGGACAACTAACCACCCCAACCTGAAACGGACCTTTCAAACAGACAGCTATCAGGCCTTACTAAACTAGCTTCCAATCCACTACTTTGCCGGACAGATATATTAGTCAACCCGAATTCATCGTCTACATTGCGCTACTGACTACCCTGCAGTAGGTCATACACGATATCATGTCACGAGAACAAATGTCAGAATCTGTCAGAACGACAAACTGTGGTTCATAACACCGATTCGCTTGACCACAAACACTCAATGAGGAAATTTCGGAAAAATATAAATTGGGAGTAAAGCGAAAGCGAAAAACGAATTGCGATATATGAATTACTGCTGTAAATTCAGGTGCATGTCCGATACTCCCTCACAATGGCCTATACACGGGTCTCCGTCGGATCATTTAAGCATCTTTCGACGTGCCTCTATCAGGATTGCAACCCCATCACCAACAGTCTCCACCATTCCGATATGTATTCCAAAGTCATATGTGTCACGATAGTGCTTGCTGGATCTCGTGGTGTGAATCGCTTCTGGTTTCGGAAACAAGCTTCCTCAATTTCGAAAGAAACAACGGACGTTAGGTATCGAAAATAGGGTTCGGTGGTATGCCATATGGATCCTAATTCATAGATGGATCGAACACAACGAAAAATTTCAAAGGAAAAGAAGGATTGCTTGGAGACTTCGGGGTTATTGCAGACTCCCGACTTTGTTGGTCATTGAATGGTCGCGTGATTCAGATGGGCCGCGATTTAGATTGGTTGGATACACTAATTTCAACCGTCATGGACCAGCACAAAACCATCAGGGAACACTCGGATACATGAAACAATGCTCCGTCAAACTGAGTGTAGGTTGAACAATTAGTCAAACAGATCGGTTAGCAGAAAGTGGAGCCACAGATTACAGTGGGGATCCTAGGTGTGGTAATTTGTCAGATGTGTTCCGATAATGACGGAACGCCCCATGTGGCTGAGGTTGTTGCGACCCAACAAGAGGGTTGCCTGACGAGGAACGTTTGGCAAGTGGGTTATCGAGAGACAGAACACTAAACGTTTTTTTAGTCGCCGTTCGAGTCACATGGCAAAACCAAAAACAACGCACAAGCTTGAACAAGTTAAGCTGCTCAGATGTGGCCAGCATGCAATACTGTTCTGGTGTCCACATGCTCGTCTCGCGTGTCATGTGACCGGAGTGCAAGCGAAAGTGACGTGGATACAACTCCAGCAAACTTTCCGCCGACTGGCAATGTTGTAGCATTTGTTGGCCACGTGGTGACTATGACTATCCATCCTGGATGATTCAGCACTCGGTGTTGAGCACTCATCCATGTAACGCCACAGTGCTGTTGTTGAATCGATTTGCCTGCTAGTGCGCTTAAGACCGACTATGCTTCCAAGATAACATCGCGTTCAGTCATCAGTTGACTAATTTTCACCAAACACAGTTTTGAAGTCTGTGAGAAACGCGCAAATGTCCATTTGTTTACAATAGCACTGTGATAGCATAGTCTGCAACTCTGTCTGGATGGCGATTCAAAACAACTTAGGTAGTAAACAGTGATCGGTTTGTCTTGAAGTTAAAATAACAACGTGCTGTAATGTTCACCAACACATTCAACACATGCCTACAGGTCAGGTGCATAAGCGACGACGGGTGGGTCACCCACACAATTCATTCTTTGGAATCGACCTCATTATCTCACTGTTTGTCCAGCATGAGGCACAGGTCTCATCTGATGAACTTCAGCCGATCTCAAAGAAACGCGTAAAATACCGTAGCATTGGAACACATACGACTGACCTCAAACACACAAGTATTATTGATTCGCTAAGTTTACACACTCAAAGCATCACGATCACAGTATCATGTGTCAACTTCATAAAATTCAAGACTGTGGCGTTCACGCTGCGTCCATCCAACGTAGTCAAACAGTCCCCTTCATGATTGCAATAATGATCCCTAAACAGGGATCAGCAGTTTCTGTAAATTTGCGTTTTACACGAAATCACACACTCACCTGGATTGACCCGAGGGTGTACGATGGATGACACCGACGGAGTTTTCTTTGCGGCTGGTTGTTTGAGCTGTTGTGCACACAAGTTTAAAATTTCCGTTGGGGATTTCCATTCGCAGACTACATCGCTGCCCTATGTCTTATGGTGGTAGCTCTCGAATGAATGACCCTTTTTAGTGGTATCTCTTATACAAAACTTATTGCCCGCTATTCTGCAGGCTTCTGAATCGATGCCACGAAACGTCTCATAGAATAACTTTGTCGTCAACCCTAATTTACGTAGATAATCTTTAGCGCATATCTGATCGAGCCCAGTACTCCTAGTTGGAAGCCTTCTGATGTGTATCTGGAAATTTTCGCCTGGTTTTTCAGGGCACTCCTTGATCTGACTAGTCTCAATAGGTGCAACATGAATCTGAAATCAACTCTCTTTCCCGTTAACCACATCGTACCCAAATAACCCTCAAAATGTGCGTTTTATCTTCGAACCTTCTTAGCGTTGTTTTCCAACAGCCGGTTATTACACCGGTCATTTTACACCGTAGTTTCTTCAGTGTTATCTCAAACAGCTTATGAGTAGCAGACCACCAGACTCAAGTTTACATTGTGCTATTGACACAAATCAAGACAGTGTTTTTTGTTAATAGACCAACGCCACGGACAAGAAAATACTGGCGGTAACGCTCTCTGCCCGGAGAGGATTTCATCATTACGGTGCATGGAAATTTTGATAGACCGTCCTCAACCTTAGATTACAAGCAGCTTGTGGAAAGGTTGTTTGACTAGTTTGTAAAGGTTCCATAACAAAAGAAAACATCCTACTTGAATTTCAGTTGGTCACTGAGGCAGAAAAGAAAGATCTGAAAAGTCACTGCTTTTGATTTCGACCTTTCTAGCAAATTCATTACTGAGTTCCAGGAAGTTCTGTGCGCGTTTCGGTGGTAATGGTGCACATGCTGAAGGTTAAACCTGTGTACGCTCATCCACGCAAACGCAATCAAGAACTCGTTTTCAAGCTAAATCAAGCTAAATCTCTGTTGGTTGTTGGCCTAGGGATTTTTGTGTGTTAGAGTGGGTGAAGAAATTTTGGGTTGATGGGGAAACCTACATGTGTTTGGGTCCAGCCTAGAGTCTGGTTCGGTCCATTTGATGGTCCCTCTTGAATGTCGTTTGAACTTTCTGTCCGTCTGTGTGGATGAGCTAGCGCTAGGATTTTCGGGATTTTCAGCAGCCTTACAAAGATATAGCGCTAAGATAGTTGTGTGACAGGGATGTTGTGACCTTTGGTCACCCCACCCCCCATTTTTAGCCAATGATTCTAGGTGGATTAACAACCACACAGCCGCGTGTCGATTCGGCTTATCTAAGACCGTTTTCCACACGCGCGCCAGTTCCACATCCTCGATTCTATTCACGCTGTGATGCTTAGTAATTTCCATCGTCTCGGCTATCAGCCGCTGTGGTGTGAATCGCAGTCCCCATCTTAAAACTCACTTTCTCCAGGTCTATTCTGGGCCCCGTTTCTAAGGCATGTACTGCCATCGCTAAGTCTTTGACCAGCGTTTGGTATTCTTCTGCATTCCTTGGTGGTTTACTTACCCTTCTTTAATGCTCACCAATTCTTGTGTGCAATTCCCTGGCAGTTTTTCCTATGTAATCATTGCAGTCAATTTTATACACACAGTCCCTAGTACTTTCAACCGGCAAGGGATCTTTCAACTGCGCCAAAACCGAGCGTGGCGTTTTCTCTTCTGGAAGGTTACTCGAATGTTACTCGAATAACCTCCGATGTTCCTGCTTTATACGGAATGACTGCCGTACCAATCCATTCCTCACTGGGTGTAAATACTGGAGCTAATATCTTCCTTAGTTGACGCTTAATCAAACTCACTGGGTATCCTATTTCTTGAAGTCTGTTGGCAATCTCGATTTGAGTTGCCGTTCGGTCGATCTCTTCTGTGCACAGCGCTCTGACTCGACGAAACATTGATGGAACAATACTGGCGTACGCGGACTTTGGGTGCGCTGATGAGTAGCATAAGACGGTTCCTGTGTCAGTTGGTTTCTGGTAGATAGTGGTTTTTAATTTCCCACCAATCTTATGTGCTATACAGTCCAGAAAGGGTAATGTACCCGGGGTGGACTCTATTTCCATGCTAAACTTAATGTGTGGATTTAACCTATTGAGATATTCGTGGAAGCTGTTCACGTTATCTCGTTTGATTACAACAAACGTGTCATCGACATAACGCCAAAAAACTTTCGGTGGACAGTGATATTCGGTCAATGCTGATTTTTCGAAGTCCTTCATATGAATATTAGCTAAAACTGGGGATATTGGAGATCCCATTACCACACCTTGTTCTAGGGAGTGAATAACTGAGTCAAAAACAAACTGATCAAGATTCAAACACACTCTTATGCCCTCAACTATTTCATCCACCGAGAGATGTGTCCGTTCCCCAAGTGTCGTGTCTGGTAGTAACAACCTCTTAGGTGCCTCCGGAACACCTGCCCTAGGGATGTTTGTGTACATAGATATCATGTCAAAACGCACTTCCAAAGGAAGCCCTGCGACCTTGCTGGCAAAGTCGTACGAATTCCTAATGAAGGTACTTGATCTCTCCGTGAGCGGTTTTAGTGTACCAGTTAAGAATCTGGCCAGTTCATGTGGTGGCAAGCCTATACCATCCACTATTGGCCTTATCGGGACATCTGCCTTTTGGGTTTTTGGCAGTCCGTAGAGTCGCGGTTGAATCGCACATTTTGGGTACGACCGATACCACTTACCTCGCCCTAAATGGTTTATTTCGGATCTTAAGTATCTATTAACTTCAACCTTACTACTTTTATTCATTGAATACTGCTACCGGTAATTTGTCGATAGGGTCTATCGGCGAGGTGTTACCTGACCTCTTGAAGATAGTCGCTCTTGTTCATTACTACTGTAGCTTTACCTTTACCGGTCTTGGTAATGACAATATTACCTACTTACCTCAGCGTGTTCAACGCTCTCCGCTCTGGTGGTGCAATATTTGGATTTCAGGACCGTAACCAGTTATACCCGTAGTTTCTCAGCTTCCACTGAAGGAAGCTTTTGAAACACCGACTCCACACTAGGAACTATTTCCTCCGCTCTTATTAAATTTTTACTCATAGAGAAATTTAGTTCCTTTTCTAACAGACAGCGTTCGTCTTCACTCAGTGGTCTATCTGACAAGTTAACTACACTACAATAATTGATGGGTGGTTTCTGCGTTCCTATGAATTTTCTGGGGCCCTGAGTAATGGAAAGCAGTTGATCGAACTTACGTATCTGCCTATCCTTGTATTGCCGGCCCTGCGTAAGCTTCACTTCTGTGGCTTTGGTGTTGATAATCTGGAAGTCGGCAGTTGGGATTGCGGTGTGAAGATCTTGGCCGAGTTGCCTGGCGTGGTGGCGTACATCGGCTAATCGCTAGGTGGTCAGGTGAATCCTCTGTTTGAGGAATGACCTGGCCGCTGACAAAGCAATTTTGGCAGAGGCAGCTGACGTATCCGGCGGCTTCACAATCAGGGAATTCGGAATAATGTGCTTTAAGCATCTAATGTTGAGTACGCGACGATTCTCCCATTTTGCCTCCAGTCAGGCCAAACGAAGCTTTTGTGTCAAAAGCGAAACGTTGCCCAGCAACAAATCTACGGATCGTCACCAAACTTTTTCGAAAACGATGACTACTCGATCGATTCCAAGTATTTTTCACCTGGCTGAACAATCGAGAATTGTTAATGTGCACCACCATAGAGTTATCAGTTTACGTTCTTCACGAATGACCCTTGTAAGAGAAAACCAATTTATTTAAGGATGGAGAAACCGGCATTCATACAACCGGTGGATTGTTCTTGAGCCAACCAGAACAGGGACGATGATGCCAGAGATGTTTAAATGTACGGATGACGCAAGCCCGTCCTAGAAACTGTACAACCAGAACACCATCAGTGTGGATCCAGTTAGGCATGGTTCCAACAGTTCACTTTCCTGATTGCCAGTTGCAGGGGGCACAACGATAGTTCCAAAGCCTCAGCACAGCAAAACAAAAGACTGAGACTCACGAATGCGCATAACCAATTGTAGGGCGGGTTCACCTAAGATGTATTCCGAATTCAACGCGTGAACATATGCTTTTCGTTTTGGACTTCCAAAATAACCCTTCAAATACGAAATTTGACTGAGATTGTCTATTTCACAGCTGAAGGCCATATTATTTTGGTTGTCCAGGGATATTCTCAACCTGCAAAACGGTGGATTCCGTTGCGACGTCGTGACATGTTTTGCAGCAAGTGTGAAGTATTCGGGAAAGTATTTTACTTCGGGGGAGTGGATTATAGCGGCCTACAAAGGCCACAACCATGACTGTATTCGGATGTAGCAAAACTAATTCCACACCGCTGATAGTTGTAAATGGTCCGTACAATCATGATCACATCAACCCGCCAATATTCCACAAACATGACTTTTTGAGCTATCATTGCTGTAGTGAGGCCTGCGCAGTTGACAGATCAAACAGTCTACGGATATTCTGAACAGAAATCACACTAAAATACGGCTTCCCAATGGACTGCTACTGTGAATCTACAGAAGATAGTTTCTTTTTCGACAGTCAAAAAGCTTAGAGATTGTCGTGAACATTCGTCGTAGACGAAGCGTTGATAAGGTCCGATTGGGTGGTCACCTTGGATTGGACACGAGACGCACGGACGACGAAATCGACTTTCCATTTGCAGTAACGAATTCCTGAACAGCGGAAATCGCTTGACAACATCGAGCCAACCTACGAACCCGCCTCGAATCCAAATAGACCACATTACCATCAGTTATCGTGGCACGGGTTGATCACAGCCTTCCGCGCCTTCTGCAACACAAGCACTGACTCCGGCCATTGACTTGTGTGCCGTTGCTTTCCACATCTACGCAAAACGCGCATACCTCGATTGGCCGTTGTGAAGCTAATTTACCCAGGAATCAAGCGAAGCTGTCAGAACCTGCTCCTCGAACGCCACCGGTAGTTAGGTAATTTGATACAAACGACCACTGGCAACAGATGTCCAAAGCGATGCGCAACGCCGAAATTACCTTTTGCGGTAGAACTAAGCCAATCTCATCCAAATATAAGAACTCCGATAGCTTTGTTGAAAGCCGGACGATAGACTCCTGGCCGCAGACATAATTCAGCCAAACGCACCATTCGACGCCAGGTGAAACTGAGTGTCCCTGAAAACCAAGGAGTTTGGTGGACCCGAAAGGCGGAATAAATTGTAGATGCAAAAAATGTTGGAAGAGTCTGCAGAATGTTCTACCTGGTTCGTTTGAGTGGTACTCAGAAGCTTCTTGTCAGTGAAACTAACAGGGGAAAAAATGACTCCCTGATGCCCAGTAAAGGGATACAGAACTTCGAATAAAAATTCATTTGGCCACCTGCTACCTATAATCCAGAATGCCGGCCTTCAAACAGAAAAGTGGACTTCAGCGTCGGAAGTGTCCCAGGGCGTATCTCTGCTCAGGCGTGATCTTGCTCCTGGCTCTGAAGACCTTCTAGAATGGGGTTCCGGTGACTCCTTCTGCACTTGGCTAGAGACATTAAAAGTAGCGGCTGATCAATTTCGGTGGCTTTCGGGCTGTCAGTTTCCTGCCAGATTGATTGAGCGCTTGGAAGTGTTGGCACTCAAGATGCTGGCGATAGGCTACCACCAGGTCCCCTCCCGCACCCATTATTTTCTCTTCTTCCAAGTCCTTAAAGATAACTAGATAAACGTTGTGGTTGGTCAGCAGGGAAGCATCAGCGTCAACACTGATGGTGATTATCAACGTTTTGGTCTGCCCAGACAAGACTATTTTTACCGGCATATCCACCGGACGACTGCATCAGTCACACAAATTCCCCGAGACCCCCAAAAACCTGGGGAACAAGTTCGGCTAGTCAGGTAGGAACAGGAAGAAAAATCCTGTGCACCAGCTTCACATCTTCATTATTGTTATAAAAAGCTTTTGAGGAACCAATTGGATAGTTTCCCGCAATACGCCCTATAACTACTTCGTAAGCCAGCGTCAGCCGGACAGAATCCAAATACTGACACTGTTGGTCTATCAAGTAAGTGTTTACGCACGAGAAATTCGGCAGCGTCAATTATGGGTCCCCGTTTAGTGACAGGAACAGTCCTATTAATTGTGGTCGCACAACGAAGCGTCAGTGTTGAATATTAGTGTTTTGATGACGATGATGAGAGGCAGTGAGAAACACTCCCATAGCGGTCAGTCCGGAGAAAATTAACTTTGCGGAACCCGTCTACAAGGATTTTCCACAAACGGTAGATCTAGAGACCTTGCCTGTGAGGCTATTGCAACCCAGCATTTGTTAAGGAATATGAATACACATCGACAAAATGTTAGCGCTCGCTACTTGGAACCATATGGGTGGCAAAGCAGGGCGATTCACCCTAACTACAGCTGATGGGGAGATGGGACCTGTCCACAATGTTCATAACTACGGAGCAGTAGGAAAAGAACATGCTGTAAAAGGTTTTCACTGACTAAAGCGGTCTCAATCCTAACCCAAACAACAGACCTTACACAAAATTGTCATTTAATTGTTGGATATCGTCAAGATGGAAAATAGCATATTCCTGATGAAAATAACAAAAATCTGATTCCTTTATCCCCAGTTAACAGAAAGACTGGGGGGCAGTAATAACAAGAACCACCTCTGCTCAGTGAAAGTTGTCGGGCCCTGGATTCATGAATTATCTAACATTGTTCATCCAAAGGAGAGTTCGAGAATTCAGATTTACGAATCGCAAGTATATGATATACGTATTATTGCTAACCGTTTGATACGATATGGATATTTCTATGAGAGTAGCCTACCACCACCTCCAAGTGAGACTATGCCTATGAATGAATCTGGATTGCGTTATAGAGACGTCAGAAAATGACGCTAAAATCACATAAAAATGAGTTTGTTGAGCATGTTCACAAAGACACGTGAAGTTACCTGTGTGTTTGATGGCGAATATTACTTCAATGCTAGTAGATTCCGAAACACACCACTGTGGTGTTACGACAATTACCGTAGGAAACGAAAACATCACAACGTTTTTTTCCAAATTTAATTCAGGTATCCCGCCTGGCAATGGACTACCTAAAGAGCTGTGTACAAAATGCGGACACGAGTGCGCGTGAGAAAAAAAAATCACACGCGTTGTCATAACAGTGACAGTTGAGGCTAGGATGGAAAGTACAGAAGGGGCATTGGACCATGTTTTAGACAACGAGATTATGAAACAGGTCTCTGAAGGAAAAAGCAGATAGGGAGTGATAAAATTTACAGAGCAATAGATAGGACTTGTTACACAATCGGAGATACATAGGGAGGCTACAACGTTAGCTTTTTGCACTGTTCCCAGGGGAATTCTGGTCGTCCAAAATGGCCATAGACAGCCGTTTGAAGATAACGTGGTGCACGGAGATCCAGCTCACTATAGAAAAACAGATAATGCGGTATAGATGTAGCTGTAGGAGGGATTTTCGATGAATAGGAAATCAGTACTTATGTAGTTATTCAACTGTCAACTTCAGCATATGTCAACGTATGCTCCATCTCAGGTGATGAGATTTAGTGAAACAGGTTTGGACTTTGAAAAACTCAGTCACATGTGGAGTGAGTATCGTTTGTCGGCTGTGGACACTGACACCAGGCGGCCCAATAGGTGGCTTCAAAGTGGCTACTGCACAAAAGTCGTATCGAGAATTAGGCCGTAAGCAGGTCCTTCTAAGCAAACTGTGCTGACTATTTTCTGTGGTCAAATAAACTAACGGAACTATAGCTAATGATATTCAGAAACCATTCGATCCGATCATAAGTGGCATTCAAATCGTCGATTCGCATGTACTAAGATTCTGCGTTGTGTCACTTCCATAACCTACCGAACTTATGTAAAAACCAAACTCGCACCTCAAAATAAACAGTACACGTACTTCGAAGAATCAAAATCGTTATGTTCACCAAGACATTTGGCACTGGGAACACTGATTAAACCAGCCGCATGACCCGTTCTAAACATACGTACTCTCCATATTACAGCTGGTCTACCGCGACCCAATTAAGGAAACTTTTCGTAAATGTGAAAGTTGTACGGTGCATGCCTCCATGGAACAAAACGCCATTAGCAATATAGATGCCCATCATTATGGACGTGCCTCAGTATCTGTCCGCCACTCGTCCGTTGCAAAGTGTGTATTTGAAATCCAGTAGGTTCTATTGTGTCCCATTTTTGGGCTATGAACCGCGCAGAAACTGCAAAGTTAGAGTCTAATAGGCATTTCCCACACTTTGTATGCCTGTGTGACGGAGTAAGAACACCCCGGAATGAGATGGACAAGACTTTCCGCTACCACTAGTGTGTGTCTCTTCGGCACATAACGTCTCTGCAAGTCACAAGAACAATGAAGGCTAAATTACCATACGGTTGCCCAATAGAAGATATTAGGAATGGACTTGAGATAGGGGCCCCTCGACCAAGGGCTCATATGGCAACCATGCCACCAAGAACCCAGTGTCGCACATTTAAAACGCCATGTGAGACAGACACACTGGTAGGTATAACAAGAACTCACAAAAATGGATGCTGACCAAAACTATTTGCCATGAATGCAGTGTTAAAAATAACCAAACACGGGGGGCAAAACAAACAGTTAAATTCGGTTAAAATTCAATATGCTGTTTGGATACGAAGATTAAAGCGATTGGCTTCAACCAAATACGCCGACAAATGTCCCGCGTCGTAGCACAAGGTCAATCTCCGTAAAACAGCAGAGATGTGCCAGGTTACCGGAAAACCTAAAATATTTTGAGTTCAATGGTTGATCGTTGGATTAAGTCACCTACTAGAAACTGATCCTCCGACACATCGGGTGCATAAGAAAAAAATCGACATAATTTAAGGACAACTGCACCCGATCTCATCAACAGACCAACGCAACCGACAAACGAAAGGGTGATAAGAATGCTTTAAGGAAGAACGTCACAAAATTTATTCTAGTTACGTCATTTTTATCCGGCTTATCAGCTACGACCTGTGCAGCTGGCAAATAAACTGTTTGAACTCTGCACACCCAACGGCGTTCGTTGGACGTATCTGATTTTTTACGTCTGAACAGGTGAACATATGCGCGCTTCATCGATGTGAGTGCGCAGGTGGAGTAGTGGTAACACGCTCGCCTCCTATGTCAGACGTGCGGAGTTCAAGCCCTGGCACTACCATTAGATGTGCACTACTGATGAGCTCTAATAAGAGCACAACTCGAGTGCAGTGCTTTTACATTTGGTGTGGAACCACCAGAATGATTGAGCTAGGACAAGGATGACTGTTCAAATGAGAGTGTTGTGAATGTGCACTCTAGAGATCTCATAGCCACTCATAACCAAATTCACCACTTACCAAGAAGTACACAGGCCTATCGCTAGTGGTACACACATGGAATGACCGTATATCTGGTCGCTTATATGAGTACTTTGATAGAAGCCGTTTGTGACCTTATGATACAAAAGAAGCAAGATATCTCTTAAGCACTAATTGGTGAGGAACATGTGCAAAGCATTTCAAGAGATTTGCCGGTGTACCCTTTAAGGTGCGCACCTTGAAATCACAAACCCTGAAACATAAAAGATGAATATCACAAGATGAAATCGATTGTCCTAGTCTAAGTAAACCGGCGCTTTCACGACGTGCCGTTTACCTACACCTCTCTTTTTGTGTTAGTATTGCAGCAAGGAGCTTAACGAACACTGTGAAGTTAAGTGGAAAGACAATTTTCACCGATTCTTTAAACAGTGGCAAACACTCAGCCATTGAACTGTGGAGATGAACCTTTAGTGTCGTAATCCAATATCACTGTGCCTTCCCCCGATCTTATGATTCCAGGATGTATTTCACGAGCAGTCCATCACTGGTGTATACGTAGCCATCTTACAATCCGGGGAAGTTAAACTGCGAATGCATTCAGCACCAAAGAGCTATTTTGACGTCAACTTGGACGCTTGGAGCATCAAGTAAAGTGGAGTTCAAGCTAGTTAACGCAAGTGGCTGCATGCTAATTTACACATTGTTGCTCCAACATGATCCCAATTGTCGGAGTACTGCAGGGCAACACAAAGAGAAAGTGCAAAGTGACCTGAATTTGAGCGATCAGTCGAAGCCAACGTTGGGTATGCCCTGGTTGCTTCAAGGCACTACATTCGAAAGCATAGTTTTTTGACACGACCAGGCTACAGAATGACGTCAATGAGGTAGTCAAATTAAACGACCAGATGTATGCATCCCAGTGGGGACTTCCAACCGAATTTGATCTGCACACCAATGGTGAACAACATGTGTGTATTTTTGGCGAGTAGTGTAGGTTCTGGCTGCCACAAGGTCCATCACCGGTCACTTAGGCGAAATGGGAGAGTCATGTAACGGAAGTCAGGGCTGAAATTGTAAATTACTAATAGCGCCACTTAAGCTGAACTGAGTTGCCCCTGAAATGCCTTAGTTTTCAGTTGTGAAGGGTGAGCGAGGAATTAACTAAAATGAATCAGGCAAGTTATTTTATATCTTGAACCAATGTTGCGTCCTGTCTGGATGTCGCCATCTGAGAAGATGGCATCGGCGGACTCGTTTCTGGGTCAGAGTATGCGCACTGCACCGTGAGTTGGCGGGTATTTGGAGCAAACCATCCCCTAGAATGTCAGGCACTTGACCCCGATAACACAAACGAAGGATCGTGACTGGCTCATCCGTCACCTGCATATTGTCATCTCCCAGTTAATCCATACAAATGGAGATATCCATGATTCGGATAACTTACTTGACAATTACTCCTGGACGAAGGTCGAAATTCTGTGTCACAATTGTCAGCAACTCCTTATCTGACACAGTTCCAGTCCCATAGCTGTCCACATAGACGGCGAGAGGTTCCGAAATCCCAATAGCGTAAGACAACTGCCGTTCACAAACAAAATAAAAGAAAAAGTCGGACATCAGTGGTCCAGAAACGGTAAGCTAGACGACTAATACAATGAAGCAGATGTGACCTTAAATGCTATTAAACACGTATGCACCAGAATTACGATGACCTCACCTGGATTCTACGTAAAAGCAAAAACTGTAAGGACATAATCAAAGGATAGGAACATATGTACAACTGCCCTGCGTCAACACACGAAATAAAACGTGCCACCCTGGCTCGAAGTGCTGGATGTATTCCTCGGATGAAGTGTCTTCTGCATCACCAGAAAATCTGCTGCCTCATTACGAATTCGCTGGTTTCAGCCGACTCCTGCCACAGTTCTCAGAAATCGGTTGTCAAAGGCCTGAAGATGAAGCAGACGCTCTAGCTGAAATGGCCAAGACTCAGCTGTACAGCATTACAGTCTGATGCGTCCTTTGATGACACAGGTTGGAAAACGCCTGGCCTTTTCGAGTCGAGTGTTGACTTGGCCTGGCAAAACTACCGTCAAAGCCAATGAAACCTCCGAAATACCTGAAGTATCCCGCATCATGACTCTGTGCTTTGTGGGCGCGAAGCACATAGCGAGGACTTTGACCAGCTTCTTACTTTTTTATAACAACTGAGAACAATGTCATCTACATAGTCCAGGTTCATAAGGTTCTCTGTCAGTATTCTTTCTTCATCCTAGATAATTTGCAGTAAAATCTTCAGGTTAGCCACAAGATACTCTCGGCCTCTCTGAACAGTGTAGGAGACGAGCCGTCTGGACCAGATGCTTTGTCGTGCTGAATCAATGAAATCACATGCTGGGTTTTCGTTGTAAAAGTTACGTCCTTACAGAGGTTGAGGATCGGGGCCAGCTGAACCGTCCTTCAAAATATTCATTCCATCGTTCATAACCAGGTCTCGGAGGCCAGTTAGATAGTATCTGCCCTCCTGGGACCACTCGGTTGGATTAGGTGGAATAAGGCGCCGCTGTTTCCTGTTGCAAAGGCTTTCTGCTTATCCCGGGCTCTCGTTATCCACCAGCGTTGTCAATCCTCGGGGCCGTGAGTGTTCGGCATCCGGCGGAATTACGTGCCTCATCATTATTGGTTGTTGCTGGCATAGATCCCCCGACACCAACAACTAGTGATCCCCAGGACAGCAACGGTTCATTTTTGGATGTTCAAGCAAACCAACAACAGTTCCAAAAGCTGTCAGTATAGCCCCCAATTGTCCTTCAGAATATCATTGTTACCGACGTACCCGCTCATTCCTGAAGGCTCTTCGGTCGACAGAATATAAACATGCAACGCTGGGGAAGTAAATGAAGCATCCACTGAAACCATGAGCTCCTTGAAGGCAAGACTGTAATCGGGTTACAAGGATTCCTTAATATGATCGAAAAAACTCTACACTTCGAATAACACAACGTGGAAGTTTTGCGCTGATCATCCGAAGGGTGCCAAATGCAGATTGTTTCAAGGTTAATCACCATCAGAAAATAGGCGGTGTATAGACCTCACAAGGGTAATATGAGAATTGATGAAAACTATTTTTTTAAATGGCTGCAGAAGACAAGACAATTTTACTGAAGGTTGGGGGGAGATATAACTCAGTGGTTAGAGTGCGAATTTACTGACCGGAAGGTCCGTGGTTCGAACCCAACCTCTGCCTCCCGACTTCCTTTGTCTAGGTTTGGGCAACCTGGCAGTATTCCGGCCCTCATGCTTCCTTCTGGTGGTATGGCAGTTAGGCACCGAAATGGTGTACAGCTGAAAGATGTCAAGTTGATATTCCCCCCTAGAATCACACCAACAAACCCCAGATTCTCGCAAATGGAATAACCACATATTTTAAAATCGCGCAGAGAACGGAGTGGAACACCGATGGCACAGTGGACCAACCGGATATTTGAAGGACGGTCAGTTGTTTCGCATATGAATTTACTGGATGTGACGGTTTGGAAAATTTGAAAACTGAACCGAGTTCTGCCCTAGCAGATGCAACTCTCCCCATTAAGAACGCAGTTAAAACATGACAGAACCTGCTAAGTTTACACGATCCGCAGGAAAAAATCGACTGATGCGTTGCGATAGGTAAGATGAAATTTCTCGCTACGACTTCGGTTTTTTTAGATCGATAACGCAGTCTATCACAAAGAACCTGAATTGGATGTAAGCAATAACAATGCTGTCTCTAGTGGTATACCAGAAAAGACAAGTGAAAAATCGCCCACACTTCATCAGGCAATATGACTCACGGAAAAAAGATGCATATTGAGACTAGTTAAACAGGGGACGAAAGTGCTCTGTGGTTAGAGCGCGAATTTACTGACCGGAAGGTCCGCGGTTGGAACCTGAACTCTGCTTCTCGATTTCCCCAGTCTGGGCTTCGGCAAACTGGAAGTACGCACCATTCTGTGGGCATTTTCTCTTTACTCCATGTACACGTACGCGGTTATTACGATGATGATGATGATGATGTACACCAATAAGCCTTGTCAGGTGGGTGCCCAAAAACCCACCGCTTTCTTTGAAAAGGGTTAGATACAAACCTTCCAGTCCTGGTGCCCACTCGTGCACTGGCATGGATATTTCGTACTTCATTTCCATTTACCCACAGGTACTATTCTTGGAAGTGATCGGCTCATCTCAATTGAAGGCGAATTAATTAGCCGTCTTTCTCCACCTGTTTCGCTGACGGTTGCGTGCTTCGGCCAGTCAAGTGCATTAGATGGTGTACGGCACGGCTGTTTCCGGTGTCCAAAGCTTCCCCCAATTCCTGAGATTTCATAGTATACCAGAGCTCTTGGTTCTTCCCCCAGACCCTTCGCTATTTGGCGTTTGAAGGATTCGCGTAGGTCATTGTACTCACCACCTGCTAGTATGGATATCCTGAAATCAATCAGGACCAGCGATTTCGGCGATACCTAATAGTCATTTTGATCGTATCAAAGAAATCAGAAAGACAGCCCTGAACGCCGCTAACAGTTCCTTTTTCATTTCGCTATGCTTCATCCACGTACTCGCTACCAGCACAGAGTTGGTTTACTACAGAAAGCAGCTGAGCTAAGTTAGATCAATACTGTTGAGCTATGATAGCTCTCCGAAGATGGTCAACTAGCATGCTTCTTGCCCCTTGAAGAAAACGAACTGTCAGGTGTACTCGCAATATGTAACAGGAATCTGGTTGTGTAACCCAGAGGGAGCAGCAGTCTTGAACTGTGGTCCTCCATCAATGGCTGACAGTCACGCGATCCGATTGGGTGCACGATTGATTTGCACTTGGTGGTTGCCAGGTAACGCGACTCTTCGCCACCCATTGCTGCCACCTACAGTTGACCCGGCCGATACGGCCACAGACACTTCGAAATCGTCCTTCAAACACCATCACTCAGTTCAACTGACAGTCCCTCACATTCGCACTTTGAAACAGGCTGGATAAGACTGCTCTTGTATGTAGGCTCCACCCGCTTTCAATTGATGTGTTTCACTGATCTGAGGGTCGAGATGGTTCGGTAGTTGGAGCGCGAATTTACTGACCGGAAGGTCCGTGGTGCGAACCCAACATCTGCGTCCCGACTTCCCCCGTCTAGTCTTGGGCAACCTGGCAGTATTCCGGCCCTCGTTCTTCCTTCTGGTGGTATGGCAGTTAGGCACTGAAAGGATGCTACAGCTGAACGATTTTTTTTAATCACTCCGAAACGGGAATTCAAGATCCAAGTATGGTTGTTGAAATGACTTTCCCATCGGTTTTCGCTTGATTCCGGTTGCGTACCTTCAGCGATTCAGAACTCGCTGGTGCTCGTTCGGCTGGCGTTGGTGGTGTTAGAATTCACGGAGCTCAAGGGTCCCTGGTGAGTGGTTGTTTACTGATAGTCGCCTCTTTGTGGTTCATTTCGCAACGCCTGCGAGAAAGCCCTGTGAAAGATCATTCAGCTGTAGCACCCTTTCAGTGCCTGACTACCATGTCACCAGAAGGAAACACGAGGGTTGGGACACTGCCAGATCTCCAAAGCCTAGACAGGAGAAGGCGAAAGACAAAGGTCGGATTCGAAACACGGACTTTATCAGTAAACTCGCGCACTAACCACTGAGCCATCTCGCCCCTGTAAGCGTGTCGGTAAACGTTCCATGTTCATTGCATTTACATACGCTCCAAAAGACTGTAGCTTTGATACATTCGAAGACAATTGCTACGACGCCATGAGCACTGTGTTGCGGCAGACTAACAGCTCAGATATTCTGTGGTTGCACGGAAAAGGGAGAACATAGTGAAGGAATGGATGACATTGGTTAGCTTTTCACGTAGTGCTGTTGTCTCCAACACAAGATGTAGTCCACGCAGCATATTCTCGAACGAAATCAAACTTGCTGTTATCTCGTCTTGTCTTCATGCGTTTTCGTAGGGCCATGTAAAATAAGCGACGCAAAGAATCTAGTTACACTGGAGGGTTAAGCTGATTCTTTTGTGATCGTTACACTCACTGCAAGCGCTCTTTTTGAAAACAGACAGCAACATTAATCCAAATGAATTAGCTGGGATGGTCTTTTGCATCCAGATAACCTAGACAAGCACCAATGGAGAATACCACCCCTATCTATGAAAAGGACGGATAGGAGTTTGCCAGGATCGAAAGCTCGGTGGCTCTCGCTTTCCGGATACTCCAAGCTTCTCGACCCAATCACACTCATTTTTCACCTGACGTCTGACAGTTCTCCGGATTGTCGGCCAGGAGAAACATGCGTCTGAGAATCGAGCAACTGTAGTGTTGTTGGAGATCCAGTTCTTGTATATGTGGTTGTGCCATTGCGCCAGTGGAGCATCCCGCACATTTCAGGAACAGTCAACATTGGAAGATGTACCGTCCAGAAGAGATAATGTCTTCAGTAGGTAGTTTTTAATGGCATGTCCCACAGGATCCGAGAGGTTCACAATGCTCAGACGAGGTGTGTGGAACTTGCGCGTCACTGAAAGGCGCAATGAGAAGCAGCGGCGAACAAGCCCCTGATTCGAATCCAGATTGATGTGCCACAACAAGCGACAATAAGGAATTGACCCACGCTATACCTGGTAGCGATGTAGTCTGTTAGAAGTTGGTAAGCGAGCGCGGACGTGGGCCCCAGTCGACTAAGCAGAATAGGTGGAGGATGCACGAAGATCCAACGGCATTCTGTCTGACCTTACCTGCCCTAATTTCGGGTCGCCACGTCACAGTTGGTTCCCTCCAGATCATACACGTGACAGGGCACGTGCACGCACAAGCTTTGCTTGCTGCTGCATTACCGGTCTTGAGTCCCTAGTGAATCATCTCGTTGCACACAAACCGTGGTCACCAAGCTTCCACTGGCGGTCAAATGTGAGAAGGCATTTGAGGGGCTAAGTCCACATGCAAAACATACGAAAACTCATACACTGAACTTTTAGTTTTACACAAATTCATGCAGTAGGGACGTTCGGAACAAGTGAAAGAAAGTAACTCTCATGAGAATATTAAAGGAACATCATTGAAGTTATATGAATCCGCTCACCTGGACCAACACGCGACGGCAAAGTCCAGCCTTGACCAAAGACTTTGCAACCCAACGAGCTGCATAGGCGGCCGAGCGGTCGACCTTTGAGTAGTCTTTACCGGAAAAGGCACCACCACCATGTGCTCCCCAGCCACCATAGGTATCAACGATGATTTTTCGACCTACGCAAAAAAAAACGAGGAAGACTATAGCAGACGAAAACAAAAGGTCGCCTTTCAAAAGGGATATGACTTAGGATTTCGAAAACGTTTTGAGGACCCATAAGAACCCTTGGCGAGTATACACAGAAGCAGTGTGAACCAGTTTTTTCTACCTATATGTACCAGAATGGAAAAAGACAGGGATCCATCTGTTGAGTGGAAAAGCAAGATATCACCAAGCAGATAGAGTACAACAATAAAACAAGCCATTAACACCTGCTACGGTAGTGGAATGTTCAGACTTATTCTATAGCACTAACCTGTTAGTCCAGCGTCACTCTGTGGCCCACCGACAACGAACCGCCCAGCGGGATTCAGATGATAAATGGTTCGGTCATCGAGCAGGTTTGGAGGTATGACAGCTTTGACCACTTGCTCCATTAGGTCAGATCGTACTTGCTCCAAAGTAACATTCTCATCATGCTGAGTGGAAATCACTATTGTATGCACGCGCAGGGGTCTACATGCTCCGTTGTCATGCGCATATTCCACAGTCACCTATAAAAAGCGAGCAAAAATGCAAGAAATATCTATTGCATGTTATACCAACTTATGCACGAGGGCAATGTCTTTATTCTGTCTTTATAAGGGTTGAACTGGAAAATCTTGGATTTCAGGAGAAATTATTGTTGGATCCAGAAGGGGTACACTCATTCCACCATGCCATGTGAACTACTCCGTAGCTGTTTCCAGCGGTTTTGTGATTACCATTGTAACTTATTATTTTATTGTCCCCTCATTTGTGCACAAAACAACTGCCCTCTATGAAAAGGTGAACCACATGCAATTCTTCATTTATATATGAAACGAGCACTTAGTAGAGAAGGTGCGCCTCGGGGGGATAGTTCATGAAAAGTACCAACTACAAAACACGTTCCACAGAACCATAACGAAGTGCTCTTGTTGAAAGGCACTTCCTTGCAATACTTGCGAAAATTGAAACCCAGACCAAACACTTTCTAAGACATAGATACCGTAAACAATCATTGGAGCCCACATTAATATAGTGGAATTCATCCACTCGTGAACTAGCTTAAACGTTACTTATTTTATATTCTGACATTTCCTTGATATCTGATTTGTCAAGAAATCTAGTTTACTCTACCTCAGACCGCAAGATTCCGTGCTGCTAACGCGGCTGTGATCGTAGCTCAGTAATACCACATACTCAACTTATCGTTTTGACGTCACCCTCGGTAGACGCCGGCAAGTAAGCACGCCTCATCGCGCCTGGGAAAATGCGGCTTGGTGCCGGCTCACCTAATAGTGCACCCAATAGAGGTTGCACCCCGATGTCATCAACTGGTTATCGGAGGAAAGACGTGCGCATACAAGCCACACATCAGCATCATCGTAACAGTGATCGAAGGTCGTGTGAAAAATGGTTTCGAAAAATCAGAGAGAACTGAGACCAGTGGTCCTTAAAAATGAACCTTCCTCTGGGAGAAATTTCCAGGGAGCCTTGAATTTTTAAGATATCAACCGTCGATTGTCAATCCGATTCACCTGATGTTTGAAAATTTATTTTACTATTCTTTTCCACTATTTATTGATATAAGATCTGATCAGAACGCACACTGGCACCGTAAAACGCACTTACACCTGCTTAAAGTCAGTAAAATTTTATGAGGACTTAAAAACAAATCTACTGGTTCTTACACTACTTATCTGAAAGTGGAAACATGTTGCAAATACACCTGATTGCAACTCATGATTACGCTTCGGGAACGGTCATTAGTAATCTTAACTGAACACTCGCTACACTAGCTTCAAGGGTCTAGATACATACGTATTACTGAAGACCAGTCGGATTCTACAACATTTGTACCCCACACAGCATCAACTCGAAAAGATCATACTGATTAGTCAAATAGGTGAGGCAGAGATGATGAGCAGACGATCAGATGATGTCATATATTCAGCCCTGAGGTAAGACGGAAAGACGGTGCATTGTCAGAAAAGAAAAGAAAAACTGTCATACTGTGCCAGTCTGTCTATCCATGATCGCTGGCACACAGTTCACTTTTGGCTATGCTGCCCAGTGAACCTCCTATGTGGTGTCAAAACTATCACAGGTAGTTTCAGTTCATGCCCATCTTATCTATTCTATCCGCGATTCATCCTACCGTACACTCCCAAGGTATACGTTTTGATGGTTGTCGGGTCACTGTGTAAGAAGTAAATCTCTTGACTCGTGTCTCAAGGACAGCACTCGATGACAAAATAATACCAGGGAACTACACATAGTAGAGATGACTCCGCAATGATGCTTTTGTCACCGTAAAAGCTTTAGGTGACAACAGCCAGCAAAACCGTAAACCGATCTGAGCACCGCCATCATTGTCCGGTGGAAATCGTAAACGGATGGCACATTGCAGTTGCTGTCAACATATTATCATTGTACCTTATTCACTTTACTCGTCCCGCCCGGTTACTTTGATGACGTAGGTCGTGAACGGCCAATTCAAACCAGCTATACATCTCAAAAAAGAGGCAGTCATATACGTCTTGTCAGTACTCGCGCTACAGTACTTTTTCGGTCAGCTTATTAATCGGTTGTGGATTTAGATGGAGAAGCGATTTTATTCAGAGCCGCTTCAATTACTCCAGTGCCATTCTAGAAACTGACAAAAGGTACCGCAACAAGTGTTCCCCTAGGAGAAATTACAAATCAGGAAAACTGTAATACAATTGAGGCCTGCTATTTGGGACTGCATTCATACAAGGATGGAGCAATAATGACGATACATCCTTCCTAGTCACTACTTACGAAGACTTTTTGGCACGTGGACTACTTTATCATCGCCATTGTCGACAGAAATACGCTAGTAATACATACGGACGCTCAACTGCCCTATAGCCATAAGATCTTATTAGAGTCGAAAGAAGAGCCTGGTGCAAAGCCTTATGTCCTTAAGATCACGAACAAGGTTGGGAAGGAGAACCTCAGGAGGGGTGCGAAGTAGGTTGCGAATCAGTGCCATGGGTCATCAAGTGCATACATGTGACTAACGTTCAATTTGGAGGTGGAGGCAAAAGGGGTAAATGAAGTGAAGGGGCTATATATCATTCACTAGCAGAAGCGGAAACTGCATGTCGTTTGGTGGATTATGGTATTACGTCATTGTAGGTTACATGATTCTCCTTGTAATTAGTTAATGAAAAACCACGGGACATGTCCAGCATTCCCTCTTCACAGTCTACTTAGGGCTTGTCTGTCACTGCACCCTAGAATCGCGTTAGGTGAGTCCCGTAAGGTAGGTTGAGTTAGTCCAATTGAAGGTGTCTTATTTCGATAAGATTCTCAGATGTGTCTATTTCGTTAAAACCCAAGATGTCAACAACCTGTTGTTTCTAATTTTCCTTACCAACATAGGGGTATTTGTACTGAATTCCAACCCATTCTTTTCGACTGCTATCGAAGACAATGATGATGATTACGCTGATATACGGGATAGTTCCAATAACGTTTAGGCGGATACGAAAAACATTCGACGGTTTGCGACAACCGGTAAAGAGCCCCGGGCAAAGGACAGCAATTAAGCAAGCCCACTGAAAAAAAATCATAACACTTCACGAGCTGAATAAAAATAAACGTCAGAAACGAAATAGTGTATAACGACATGGTCCATAATTATGGTTGCGTTTTCAAAACTGGACCTCCTTACCACACCACCAGTGCTAACTGTCGAGTTTTTTTAAAATACGTTGAAACAAAGGAGAACTGGGATGCCAGACAGATTAAACAGTGGTATTGTCATTTAGCTCACCTGTGCCTTGTTATCAGGCCTAGCCCAGGAGAGAATGTGGTTTCTCCGACAATAGGCCAACCTTTTGGTCAGCGCATGGGCCAAAACGACCGTAAGTGGCATACATTCCTCGGTTTCGTCCGTCGCATATCCAAACATGATTCCCTGGAAATTCGAAAAAAAGAGGAGCACATCTAGCCGTCTAAAGAAAACTACAGCAACACATAGTGATAGAATACCCCCGTCTCGGGATGAATTAAAGTGTTACTTGTCAAAAGCATGTGGGTTAGGCACAGGGTCGATGCATGAGAGGAGAAATCCGCTATTATAAATTTGTATATGCAAAACAAACTAGGCACAAGTGACGCAGTCCTTGTGCTTTCGCCTTCAATGTTTGATTGTATGTTCCACTTTCCCGTTTTTCGGTGACCTAAATCGTAGCAACTAAAACCAGCGTGTTTGTGGCACACGGTTAATAGCTGACAAACTGAACTGATTTGAATTCAATACGGCAACCAGGCTGGTGTCACGTGACGACCGTTGTGAACTGGAGGTACCTTTAACCGTAAAGTTCAGTGTTGTATGTGGTCGGTGTGCCCATATATAAACGAGGGGACAACTAGAGTGCCCAACCCAAACTTTTGGAGCAGAAGCCTGTCCTCAAGGCGTGAAACTAATTGAATAGTCCAAAATTAGGTGAAGAATCGCTACACCTGTTCCCATCACAAGCCTGGAAGGCCAGGAGACTATCAGATCTCTAAACATTGATCAACCTGGTAAAAGAAAAACATCGGTCAGCTGTAGCACCCTTCGGTGCCTAACTGCTATACCACCAGAAGGAAGAACGAGGGCTGAGGTACTGCCAGGTCGCCCAAGCCTAGACAAGGGAAGTTGAGAGGTAGAGATCGGGTCCGAACCTCTGCGGGCAGCGGAACTGTGACGTCTACATGTTTTCGATAACCATTGTCTCATAACCCCGGGCTCGGGCAGGCTGGAGTCAGCGAATTTACGAGGTAGTTAGAGAGCGATTGTTTGGTTCTCTAACACGGGCTTCAATCGAAGTCCAGCACCCAAAAGTGCGATGGTCTGGTCATGTATTACAGACGCCCAATCACTGTTTACCTGGAAGTGTTATTTTTAGCCCGATGCAGTGGCGCAAGCGAACAGGTGACCCAAAATTGATATGGCAGAGAAGTTTGAAAACGATTACAACTCACATCTCAGGGCGGAATCCGCCGCGCGGCTGAAGACGCTACAACATATGAACACTACACTATGTCAACGGCGTTCATGTTGTGATATTCCACCCGGGATGGATGCACGCACCGCGGAATGACTGCGGTATGCTGGCGTTTGGTCCCCCCTCCACCAACTTCTATTATTTTCTCAGCAATAAAGCCTTCAAACAACTCATGGTTACACAACAGTTAAGCTTACCGTTGAAAACCAGAGAAACCGAACAACCAAGAACATGGAAGCGAAATTTTCATGGTCTGCACCAGAGAAGTAATTATGCGGTCGCAGGCTAATGAGTCAAAATGAAGTATAAATGTTATGTTTAATCGCACTAATGGGCTCACTCTGTCACCGGATGCTTGATTTGCAGTGAACTACCAAAGAAATACATACTCACGGAATGCCACTTGATGATTGGGCGGAGTACGACGGTAAGGGAAGCAGCAGCAGCAGCATTATCAGAGACAGCAACATCGGTGTTGACACTGATGCTTCTTTGCTGCATGATCGAAGTTTATTTAAGCACACGAAAAGCCATAAAGTGAAAGGAAGGTACATGAGCGGGTGAGGAGGGAGTCTGATGTTCGACTATCACAAACATCCCGAAGTGATTACACATCCAAGAGCTCGATTAGACGATCTAAAAATAAAGCAGCAGCTGAGGTGACGATATCTTCCATCTATTCATTCAGGCAGCTGTAATAACGACATTCCGCATCAATGATCCTTCTAAATGGACTCTAATACTGTGTAAAAAAAGTGCTGTCATTCTGCTAATCATCATCATCATCGACAGCATGACATTAGTGTTCAACACCGATGCTGATGCTAAAGGTGATAAAAAAGCGTTCAGCTGTAGCACGCCTAGCTGCCATGCCACCCGAAGGAAGCACGAGGGCTGGGAGACTGCCAGGTTGCCCAAGCCTAGACAGGGGAAGTCGAGTTGTGGGGGTCGGATTCGAACCACGGACCTTCCGGTCAGTAAAATTCGCGCCTAACCACTTGGGCCATCTCGCCAGGTTGCCTCGATAGGAACAGTCGAGATGGGAGTTTAGATAAGAAAGACGGACATTCCGGTCAGTAAGTTCGCGCCCTTGACCGACTGCGTAATGCGCAAACCCAACAAGCCGAAGCACTTGAGTGTCATTACGGAGCATCGAAAAACAGAGCTGTTGTGATAATTTGCGTAATTAGACCAATTGCACTATACTGGAGGATTCGATGCGACACACCTAGGTGGGCTTATGGATAGGGGTCGGATGGACTCATTCTAAGTTGATGACATGCCGTCACCACTCGATCATGCCATCAGGCTTGTGAGCCAAAGGCTGCTCACTGGTGTTTCTATGAAGTCTGTTTCGAGAGAACTGGTTACCAGCGAGAACAATTTTCCTCGGGGGTCTGCGTCTAAATTCATATAGCCGTGGTTGCGCAGAACGGCGGACGGTCCCCTCAGAATCACTGCCAGCAGCGAAGGGACACATGTGCATATACCTCTAGAGGAGTCTTGAAGTCTAGGAGACCGTACAGGAAGCCCACAACTCAAGTACCACACTGACTGTCATTAATTAATCGGTGTTAGAATGCCAACTCCACACGACTGGTACTCAAAAACCATGAAAACCGTAGCACTGCGTCGATAAGCGCATTCACGTTAAATGCAAAATACCACAGTGCATACTTGCGAAAATTCATGGACCAACATCCATTATATAGTACGTTAATACGTACCTGGTCACCAGCGCCGATTTCCTCAGTCCTGCGACCCTCGTGAACACCTTTCGCTATGTCGGGACTTTGTTGTTCTATGGCGGTAAGGATGTTACAGGATTTATAATCCAATCCTTTTCGCACATCATCATAACCTATACTTCTGACAACCTTGCGGACGGTGGTTTGCAGATCCACACCAGCAGTCGAAGAAATCTCACCTCCAACGAGAATCATTCCCGTTTTTGTGAAGGTTTCTAGATATTATTGGTTGAGAAATGCAAGTGGCTTACCACAAGCAACTTTTGCTTCAGGGTCCCTGCGTAGAAATTCGTCCAAAATTGCATCACTGATCTGGTCACATAGTTTATCTTTTGGCAGTAAGATGACTACACCATTTTTACCTGGATGACCCTCACCCACTGACTCCGATGTAAACAAAAATGTATCCATTTTGCCTATGTCACCGTTCGTTAGCGTCGGCATGTCTTGCGATAACGACCAAAGAAATTAACCACGCCAAGGTCGGGAATTTTACACACTGCGCCACACTCACAGTTCTCTCTCTATCCATCACCGCTCCATTGGCTTTCCTCCCATGAGTAATTACGATCACAGAGCAGTTTTAACCCTAAGTAGGAAAGTGTACGGTAGTATCCGCATCAACCGTGAGAGTTATATTGCCGTTTGGAATGATCAGTTTTGCTGTCCTAAAACGGCGCGCAGTACAAATTTTCAACACTGCCGTAATTTGACGGATTGAAACACAGGATCGAGGCTTTCGGCCAACTTTCCCGGGTCGGTTTTGTTCTTGTCAGTCAATGGCTGCCGTTCACCTGAAACGCAAAAGTGAAAAAAGGGTGTAGCACTGCTCTTTATGTTCTCAGCGCGGGGCAGTATGCTTGCCAGCGCCAGGATTCGCATAAATAAATGTGTAACAGTGATTTAAACTGGGTTCTAGAAGGAGCGTGGACAACCGTTGGAGGGAGGTCATTCTACGCACCCATTACCCGAAATGAGAAAAAATTGTCTAATGAATATGTGTGCTCTGAGATTGAAAATTTTCTCACTATGTCCCTGCCGTGTGTTCGCTGGGTCAACGGTGAAAAACCTGTTTGCCAAGCATTGTTCAAGCAGGGCGTAATTAAGAATTAGGTTCTCTCGGAGGCGACGGTGCTCCAGGAGAAAGAGATCAAGCATCGTGAGACGCGTTTCTTAGTCCACGGATTTGAGGCCGGCAACAATTCTCGTGGAGGCCCGCTGGACACGCTCAATGAGGGTCACGTCTTTCGTACGTCCTGAGTAGACGACTTAGTTGGCGTACTCCAGGAGCGGTCTGACGTAGGCCCCATAGAGTATTTGGAAGTCCGTGCGAGTAATACGGGAGAAGGTGCGTCGGATCATCCGTAAAATGGCGAATGCCTTTTGGGCCGATTTCTCACGGTGCAGTGAGAAGGACAAGTTTGAGGAGACCCAGATGCTCAAACCCTTTTTGACATCTATCCTCATGATGTTTTCTGGTCCCTTCTCACCATGCACAACAAAGGCATTCGCTGGGTCTTTTCCAAATGACATATGGACGCACTTTTTGTCATTCAGAGGAAGGTGCCAGTCCATTCGGAGAGCGCACTCAGAATTCCTCTGCACCCATGTTTCGAACAGTGGAAGCCTTTTAATAAATTGTGGTATTCCGTGGCATTCTTTGTAAAGCCGTAAAATGCCCCTAAACAGTCACAGTTCTGTTAAAACATATGTAAATTATTTTTGGTGCCTAGTTTGTAATGCCCATTTTTCGAAGGGCACCATATATCAGCGTCAACGGCCTGAGAGTAAGGTGGAAGTCGATGTAGACGTCAGCTTGCCGAATTTCTCCTCTAAGGATCGATTTCAAACTTCTTCAAATAGATAAATGAACAACTATTACGTCGTTTTTGACCGCAAGAGCTCGAGTAAGCTCAGCTGTTAGTTGCTGTACGACAAGATATTCTGTCGCCTGCACCGGTCTTCATTGGAGTTCCTCAAGGCTCCATCCTGGGACAACGGCTCTCTCTGATCTATGTCAACAACCTTCCAGATGTTCTTGTAAGTCCATGCTTGCTTACTGCGGACGACGTGAAATCCTGGCGTTCCAATTCCATTGCCCTCCAAATGGATGTACACGCTGCAAAGCGGGGTTGTTGGACTTGCACTTCCCTGTGAATCACGAAAAGTGCGTCCACATGTATGAGAATTAAGTTCCGTACGTATATCAGTACAACCAGACGATCTAGAAATCCGGAATTCAGCACGGCGTAACAAGTGGCACGTATGTATTCGAACTGGCGTATATGTACAGCAGGTGGAATAATAAAATAAGAGAATAATGAGCAGAGCAATGAATAGAGTATCAATCATGTTCATCAGATCCGCCACACCTTGAATTAGTGTATGGATGTTTATAGTTCAGTGGTGGTCTTGATCGCAATCCTTCGGATCTTCCCAGAATGGAAACTTCAGACTCTTCAAAGGTTGTGTGTTCCTCTAATAAGTTTTGTTAGGATACCATAAGAGCATCTACAAACAACTCGTTAGTATTTGAAAGAGTGGAAGTGCCGTTAGCACACTGCCCTTGGAATTGAACTCGACCTGATCAATATGTCCCCGACAACAAGATCGGCCATCTAAATTCAGAATTGTGACCATCCGTTTGCCCTTTGATGAAAGTACTATTCCCGTAGAAGGTCGTAAATCATTACCCTTGAAATATGTATGATCAGCCGTTTGGGCACAGTCAAGATTTGTATCTAACGAACGAGAATTAAATAGAAGCGTGTGACTCTTCCCAGTAACGGAATGAACGGCTAGAAAAATAACCATCCCACGGTTCAATTCCACAAAAGTAGTGGGGGAGGGTGTTCAGACAAAATTTCGAACAATTCCATTCTATTGCGGATGTCGTGTAGCAGTAGACGGGTGTCGAAATCGAAGACCCTTCAACCATTCCTCGAGGAATTTTGCAGTAAATTGGGTGCCGCAGTCAGTCACCAAAACAGTTGGTACATCTTCACGGCTCAACACTTTCCTCAATACTTGCTCTGTGAATTCGACACTTGGAGACGTAGTTGGAAAAACTTCAGGCTAACGTGATTATGCGTCAACAACGATTAAAGCGTGGTTTTTGCCAAGAAAAGGACCACAGTAGTTAGCGTGAGCTCGTTGGAGTACTTGACCAACAGGCTGGCGTAAGCCAAATGGCATAATTCATCTCTTGGGTATTTGCACGCCACCTCTAGCCTAAGGACGTTTAAGAGTAGGTTTTTTGAGCTGATTCTAATTCATAGCAGTCGGCGGGGAGATACCAGTTCGCAGTGAGCGCAGAACTTGGAGTCCGATGATCGATGGTCCCGACGTTGAACCCAAAAATTACAATCGATAGAGGTACCTTGGGGTAATCTCGCATGGCTCTTGCAACTACCAGCTAGAGGTATAGAATGTCCAGTGATACCACGGATGCTAACATCTTTAGGCAATATCATAGCACTGGGGTAGAGTACATTTAGATATGATTATGGAACGATGGAGTCAACGCTACTGGTGTCAACAATGTAGTCATGCTTTTGGCCAGAAGCAGATATCAAATCTTTAAAAGCGTGACGAAGTTTTGGACAAACAGGCAGAGGAAGAATATAGATGCATTCAGATAATACTTTCACGTCAGTATTCGGGTCAGAAGTTAAGTGGCACACTTTTTTGGGCTTACAGACAAGTTGAGTGTGACCCGTATTAACGTAGATAAAACCCTTCGCTTGCCCGTGAGGGCCACCAGACGAAGCAATGGCTGAAAAATTGGTCGAATCTGGCAATTGTGGTCGATTTCGTGACAAACGGTCCACAGAGTACTCGCTTGAGGTTTTCAACACTATCCTCAATGTACACCAACATACCGGCTGTGAAACTAAGAGCGTGCCAACCGTCCAAATCGTTTGCAGTTATCACATCGTCTGCCACCCACAAATGTTAAGTAGGTCGATGTCTGCGCTCTTATATCACCGGCTTGAACAACATACCTCCGGTTGTTGCAAAACTACGCGAATGTGGCCATGCACCATTCGTGTCATCCGACGGTGATCGTTATAGACACATTTGTTTTGCTTACACGACAATTGGCTCTATTCGACCTTCCCCAGATTTTGGTAACATTAGTGCCACATACGGCAGTAAGCATCCGGGGTAAATTCTTATACCGCTTCCCTTCTTGCTACGCAGGCACAAGCTGCACACCTTTCTTGTGACGCATGGTTTGAGGATCCATCTACAGTTAATGTGTGTGATCAACGAAAGCAATCATTTTGGTCCTGTGTAAACAGCTCAACTTTCTCAAGAAAATGACGGATGGGGTTGATCCAATGATGTCGCATCAGAATATTGTGATGAATAAAATGACACCACAGCTGCCGGCTGCCAAATATTCACTAATTTTGTGCGTTCCAAGACATCAGTGAGCCCTGTTCTTTCCATGAACATGACGTTTTCCCGTAGAATACCTCCGGCCGCAGCCAACGGACAACCACGGCGCGACCCCTTTTGATATTGCAGACAACTACCACTTAAGTCTCTCCATTATTTGAATACCCTGTGAAAATATATTTGTCTCATATGTGAGTACTACTGGATCTACATAGAATGTGACAACCGCCTTGAGAATGCGGTTGGGTGCTTGGATGGTCGTGTAAACCAAGGGGATTACCGTGATCGTGCTATCCGGAAACCCTGGCAGCATTGCTGGCAGATCATGTATGAATATTAGATGCATAGCACCTACAACCATAACAGATGAGAAAATTCATTATTGTACATGCGGCTTAAAACGGCTTAAAACATAAAGACGTATGCCGGCAGCTACGTTCCTAGGTTCATTGCTTATCGTAGAACGAAACCGAAGAAGTATGAGCCCGGTTAATCCGAGGTAAGAACCGCGCCCTTGGTAATGCTTAGTCGCTGTTTCAAGCGTCTCAATGTCACCACATAGCCTACACTTTTTTCGTAGCTGTGAGTGCACCTTCTGTACACCACAGTGTCTAGTTTGTGTAAACTTTTCGGTATTTTGAGGCTATCGTTGCACTAGAGTTGTTGAACTCTTCATACATGCGTTGCTGAAGTCAGTCTCACATTCGTTACTCGTAAATAACCGAGTCCAACCTACCAGAATGACGTATACCTCCATCTCAGATTCCGATTGTAGGCCCCACCTGAATACACGGTTGGCAGACAAAATTGTAGGAGGGGCGTACGTGGGTAGGCTATATCAACAAGCAAGTCTGATTTTGCGCATTAAGCCAAGTTACCGGATATCGGATTATGTTATCTCACATAGGAAAGGCTCCGTAATCGGTGATCCGCGTGAGTATGTGCCCAGCACTCACGGGAAGCAGTCAAGATAAGCGAAAGCGATTACGATTGTGAGGAAAAACCGTCGACAGCCCCGTTTTATGACAGATTTTTAGCAGTTTCCGATGGGACCAAGATGCCGCAAAGCTATGCGATTTATTTGAAAAGAACTCTGCCAAACAGTTGCAGTCCATGCGCAAACTATCGGAGAACACTGCAGTGTACCCCGACCAGTGGAGCACAATTGACAGTGTCGATCACTCACAAGGATGGTCGGGTTCATTGGTGTTGCGAAGAACACAATTTGAACAGCAGATCAGACGTACCGCAAGTTTTCCCAAAGCTGCGTCACGTCGATCCTATGGAAACCAAATCAACTTTGTTGCACTGAATGGGGAGGCTGACCGGCACTTGATTCAAGTATCAATGCGGGCGGGACACGCATTCGGCGCAATACATAAGGCACCTCCGATTTTAGGAAATTCGCAAACCGTCAAAATATGCAGCTTTTTGGATGCCTTACTGAATTATCGCCCTTACATGTGAGCCCTTGAGTG